GCGACCATGGTCGCCCCGCCTACTTTGCTACTTCCGGAGCGGATTTCTCGTTCCAGAAGCAGTTTTTTGGGCGAAGCTTGGCAGTTTGCCTATTGTGGAGGCCCACACTAGTATGCCATCATAATCTCGCCAACCTCCATTTTGGGTGGACGTGCCTTTAAACCTTCGAAATTCGGAAATTTTTGATGCATATCGAGGTGCCAGAAAGAAAAAAGGAGAAGTTGAAACCGGATCTCTACTAAACAGGGTGTCCCAAAAGTATGTATACACTGTTTGATCGTTGATATCTCTTTTCCCAAGAAGTCTTTTGCTTACCTCTAGGCACCATTTTATATAGCTGGCTTCATCTTAGATTTACAGCATGGAGCGAATTACGGATTGCTCTTTTCCGTAAGATTACGGTAGGAACTTTCAGCTTATAGCGTCATTACGGATTAACCATGTTTCAAAAAACTTTCCAAAAATTTTGAAAAGCGGTGTGCTAGGGTCTTCAACCTCGCTGATTTCATTAATCAACTTTTTACAAGTAAAGCTTTTGAATGGCGTAATCACGATTTTATGGAATCTTGTAAAAACAACCATTGCTGTCTACCTGGCATAACTTATGAAGGAAGCATTGCGGTAAAGTGCAAACATCGTATTTGGTTTTAGCGGCTTCAATTGACCTAGTATAGAAGTTTTCTGGCTGTTCGGCTTGCTTTCTGAAGTGAAGTAGGGTTCGATGGCTCACACCATTCTGAATTTTCTACCGTAATCCTACAGTAATGACGACCGATGATTCGCTCCATACCATAAATCTAAGTTGAAGTCAGCTCTATAAGATGGTGCTTAAAGGTAAGCAAAAGACTTCTTGGGAAAAGAGATATAAACGATCAAACAGTGTACACATACTTTTGGAACACCCTGTATATTAAACATTAGGTGCATAGAAGCGATAGGTGGAGAAATTTCTTTGACCCCCTTCACTTTAGAGCAGGCATCTGGCTGTCTTCTTTCACATGAGATTGAGACTAGAATCAAGGCATAACGGCAGAATCAAACAGCTGTTACAACGACACTTCTTGTTCACAAAACGCAAGCTGCTCTACACATTGTCGCATGAAGAGCTGAGCAAGAGTAAAAACTAGACTCCAATGATGGACGTACAGGGCTTTACAACCTGAGTGTCACAGCCGCCCTGCTCGGCCGCCACGCTTAGGTCTGCGCAGCGTTCGTGGCGCATCGTCCGGGCATTTTGCCAGGTCTCAATCGATGCCGCCAAAGCATGCACCAGGCGGCGCATCGACTGAAGCTTGGCAAAATGCCCGGACGATGCGCAGCAAACACCGCGCGCGGCCTAAGCGAGGCGGCCGCGTTGGAGGAGCCGCGAAAGCAGAGGCTGTGACTCTTATGTTGAAAAGCCCTGTATGTTTACTGACAAGAAATCGTACCATATCTAATTTAACTAGAGAGAAAATTAACAGATAAAAGAACAGTCAGATTATTTGTTTTCCAAATTTTCGAACCATATCTAAAACTTCGACAAAGACCTTCTTGGTTTTGAAAATAAAGCATAAAATTATTACCCAGAATTTGCTGATACGATACCGCTCACATTTTTTGAAAAATAGACGCGAATGTATGGACATGTATGGACATGTGTGACATACATGTGCAGTACCACCCGTGATTTGTGAAAAAATTGGCGGCGGCACTTAACTCACGCGGCGCCGCCAGTTAGGTGACAAGCGCCGCGTCGCGCGACAAAGTTAGGCGGAAAAGCGGCACTTGCCGCCTAACTTTGTCGCGCAACGCCTAACTTTTTTTTATAAAAAAAACCTTCTTGATTCAAAATTTATGAATTCTATATATAAGAGTACCATTCAACTCAGCTCGGCGAGGCACATCTTCCAGTATACAGATGTGCCTAATTGTGGGATATAGGTTTTTTTCTTGGAATATCAGTGTAAATGGATCATCCAGTGTGCTGATTCCAGGGGCTACCTACACATTCTATTGAGCACTGTAGAAATAGGGTGGGTATAGTTTAAGAGCTCATTCTGCAAGGATATGTGTAAAACTGGGCTTTTCTCGGCGAAGTATGACGGGTCCCAAAATGCAGGCAATGCAAAAAATCGCTTGATATTGCAAATTTAACTTGAAGCCTCCTCTACAGAATGGCGCTTGAATGGCGGGAAAAGACACAATAATGGGAAGGGAGCTTTTAACGATTGAAAAGTGTGTACTTACTTTTGGGACACCCTGTATTCTCTCTTTGCACATCCCAGTCCCACTCGGCATGTAAGCATACGTGAGCATTCACCTTAAAGCTCAATCACCCCTTTACTTTCCTAGGTTGAAAATAGCAGAAATCCCCTTCACGTGAAAGGGACCTTGCTCCCTCTATCGCACCTACTCAGATAATCGCCGGGGCAAACGGACCGCAAATTCGCGTTTTTCTGCAGGCGGTCAGCAGAATTTTGAGGCGTGGCCAAACCTTCAGCGGGCACAGCACTTACTTTACTGTGGCATATTCTGCCAGCAGTAACTATACTGCATTTTCTGCAGGCGCTCGTCAAATAATTTCTTTCAGCGAGCGCTGGGCAAATTCTCAGCTAGCGCTCTGGCTCTCATTACGCAGTTTTGGCCGTATGCCGAGAAGAGATAACACTCTATATGACAGAGGTGTCACCGTTGGTTTGATTAAACGAGTAGAGGTACTCTCTCGCTGCGCAAGGTACCTACGGGCAGTGCGGTCCTCCACAAAGGACCGTGCGGCCCTCAATAATTTTGCATATTCTCGCAAAAGGTCCGCTAGAATGCGGCCACAGCGCCGCAACTAATTTATGAGAAAGCCGCAATCGTTCTTCAAGCATTCGTATAAATTTCGCCAAAATTTTTCCAAATATCTGCAAGCGGACAGCAAGAAATCACCGAACTATTTTTTCGGCACCTGCTTGCCCATAGATCGCATGCGCTTGCACAGTTGAAATGCGGTAAAATCTGCGCGTGGATAGGTAGCTGCGCCAGCACTGCCGGCATTTTGCGCGCGCAATTGGCCGGCGTCACAGTCGAAGCTAATTCTTCACGCGCAAATTTTACCGCATTTCACCTTCTGTGCAAGCACACTTATATTAAGCGGAAAATCTACTCGACTGTAGCTCAGACAATCGCCGGGGGCAGGCGGCCATGCGATTTATAGGCAGACGGGCACCGGAAAAATAGTTTGCTTGTCTTGCGGTCCGCTTGCAGATATTTGGAAGAATTTTGGCAAAATTCATACGATCTCTTGGAAAACGATTGCGGCTTTTTCATAGATTAGTTGCGGCGCAGTGGCTGCATTCAAGGGGGCCTTCCGCGAGAATATGCAAAATTATTGAGGGTCGCACGGTCCTTTGTGAAGAACCGCATAGCCCCTAGGTACCTTCCGCTGAGATAAAGTACCCCAAACTCGAGTGATTGAACCATCGATGACACCTCTGTTATGTAGAGTGTAACCTGTGCTCGACGTACTCCTAAGCTCGCTGAAAATTTGGCCAGCGCTTGCCGAAAGAAATTATTCGATGAGCGCCCGCAAAATGCAGTATAGCTGCCCGCTGGCAGAATATGCGACAGTAAAGTAAGTACCGCCCGCTGAAGGTTTGGCCATGCCCCAAAATTCTGCTGACCACCTGCAGAAAAACGCGAATTTGCAGTCCGCCTGCCCTGGCGATTATCTGAGAGCATGCTCACTTACCCCCAGCCCCCCTCCCCGTACTAACTCCCAGTTTCGCAGGTCAAACATTGCAAAAATCGATAAAATCGATAAAATCGCTGTAATGATAACGAAAAATAGCCTACGACAAACGCCCCACTCGAAGTGGCGAAGTGTATTTTCGATCCGGACCGATTTAGAAATAAAATTTGTATCAACATAAGTACATACATGCAGCCAGACATGCATACAATACCGCTCACATAACGTGCGAAATTTCCGTGAATGTCGCGAAATTTCGGCAAATCCGCAAAATTCCGGGAATGTCGCAAAGTTCCGGGAATTTCGAGGAATTCCGCGGATGTAATCAGACAGCGCCATGCGGAATTGGAATCCTTCATTAATAACAGATCTGTAAGGCGCATTTTTTTGTGAGGATTAGATAACTACGGCGTGCGGCTTAGCGTGAACTTACTGTATTCATAACGATGCAAAGTTTCGAACATTTCCCCACCATCTGTTCAAATTAACCACTAATGACAAAAACTGTGTTCACTTCCTTGTAATTTAGAGCTATATAGAGCAGAATTGAGGTGTTTTGCAAGGTTTATTGTTTTGAGGGGGTCAGTGCAGGATTTCCTTGAATCTTACGTACGCTGGAACTGGATTCCTAGACATCAATATGGCGGTCTGAAAATCTAAATTTTAAAGTAGAAGCCATTTCTTTGCAATTACTGCTCGTTCCCACGTCGAGCGCGCCATAGGAGTGCTCAAGGCGCAGTTCAAGATTCTGGGCGAGGAGTGCCGGTAGATTTTTCAATGGTTCGAATCACAACAAAAAAAAACTCTTTCTTGCAGATACAAACCGGAACTTGCAACTAAGATAATCGTTGCATGCGTCGTTTTGCGAAATATTGCCATCGGCGGGAATGAGTCCATAGACGAATTCGAAGTGGAGGCCGAAGAAACGATCGGAGACGATCCTGATAGTTCCACTGAACCGACGTCTTTGACGGGAAGAGCGCATATTTGAAGAATAATAAGTGATTACTTCATGTGAAATTGTCATTCATCATTGTCTTTATCTTTATCATTTACTACCTCCGTCTTTACTTAAGCTGTTTCGCCTTGTAGTCAAATAATAACGTTGACATGACAGCTTCATTTTTATTCAGTGTTATTACCCACAATAAATTGCAGAGGTATGCGAAATACTCGTACATAGAAACTTCAATGACTTCATTATTTTCAATGAACTCGTGCAAGTACGGATTCAATTCTCACAAAATTCCAATACAACTTTAATACTTCCAATACAGCTGCTTACTTAAGTGCTTATGATGACACCTTGATCCAGATAGTCGCCTCGCTTCTGCTCGTTGCTTATTTCCAGCTTCTGCTTCACATTCTTAAGACACAAATTCTCATTTTGGAGCTTTGCATTCTCAGTTTGTAGATACAAGAGGTCGCCGGTCAGCTGTTCGTTCCTGATTCTCAACTGAATGCGTTCCGATTCAATTTCGCTGGCTCTTCCTGATTTCTTTTTTTCACTAAAACAGCTGACTGATTGAAAGTCCATCCAGCAAACCTTGCCTACCGTGGTCTATTCTCTTTCTCAGCGTCGTTATGCAGTTCTACCGGCACTGGCTCGCTAAACGAAAATAAGTTCATTAGGAAATAGCGCACTTTGACCAAACTTGAGAACTTACTAATGTTCGTAATCGTCAAAATTTGGATGCTCGAAGATTGGCTCAGTTTTTACTCTCTTTCCTCCGTTTCTCTCGGTTTTCTCGAGCGTGTTTCTGGAACACAAAGTAAGCAAATTGAAAGTCCTTCGAAACACTCACTTGTTGGCGGGGTACACTTCGTTTTCCGTGTCAGTCAAGCTTAATTGCGACTCGTTGTCCCATGGAGGAGGTGGCTTTGATGATGAAGGCTGAGAAACAAGTTTAAGTATAGCACGAAGTAAGTATAAAATAGGTGATCTGTTAACTTTGTTCAATAGAGGGGCAGGCTGGTTAATTTCGTCATCCGTCTGAGCAGGTCGTTTCGACGAGGAAGGTTGCTGAAGAGGCATCAGTGAGTATATGAATGAATATGCCAATTGTCTTACAGCTAAAGCATGGTCGCCAGAAACTTCGATCGCGCATGGAAGCCCTTTCAAACGTGGTTTTTCCCCTATTTTATCCAATAGAATTGGAGCTTAAGTTTGATGGGGACTCCGCCTCCCGTTTTATTGTGTTCGAGCTTCTAAAAGGTTTTGGTACGAAGTGGGAACATTGCTGAGTGTATTACTTACCTCCTGTGCAATCACCTTTTTGGCTCTTTTCAAAGTATCGCGCATTCGCTAGTTGCGTGACGGTGCGTTTTGGATAACCAGCGCTCGTCAGTATTCGAGCTAATTCTTCTAACTTGTCTCTTTTCGCCTTAACAAAAAACTTGGAGGGACGAAGGGAACTCAGCCTGAAGTGTCTTACCTTCACTGCAGGCTGGCGACTTGAGCCTGCGAACGCCGCATGAAACACATTATAGTTCTCGACGTAAAACTGACTTATGATAGACAACTCCTCTTCGGTCATGGTTGGAGCCCGACTCTAACATCGTTGATTTTACAAGGAGCTGGGAAAGACGGCAAAGAACCTACTTTGACCTTAACAACTTCCATCTTCTTCGATCTGCGGCACAAAAACAAACACCCGCCTTCAAAAACCAAACTCGCTGACAAAGCCTATGCAAAAGCAAGTGAATGCCGAAAGCTAGATAAAAAGCACGATAGTTACTGCGGATACCATTACAATACCACTACCAATACCAAAACATGACTAATAAGTTTGAGAAATAGCATGGTTCGAATGCTGTTGAACAATGCATAGAACTCATTATGGTCACACTAAGTCATGTTTTCTACAGCAAAGCACAAATCAGAAGAGATTGCTACTATACTAAAACAAGATTTGAAAACAGCTAAAGATTAGCTATGCATTCATCCAGCAACAGACAGCAACAGCGTGGTCCGTACTCTGTGTTGCAAAGACAAAGACTTGTGCTCAAACAGCTACTCAAATAGTAAGAAAACGCAAAGATCAAAAGAAACATAGCACGGATAAGTCAAAACAAAAAAGAGTAGTTAGTCTTATGGCCTTTTCCAAAAACGTACCAACAAAAGTAGGATGAATAAAAGTACATGCGCATGAATAGCGGCAAAGTAAGTTTTTATTGCTCAATACAGTTAGACGCCAGCTTCAGATTTCTACAGCGATCAAAGAAAAGACAAAAAAGTACGTTAAGGGACATAAACTGATAAAGAAACATGCACGGACTCAAATTCGGAGAAGAAATGCAAGAAAATGAGTGAAAGGAGTCACTCCCAGAAGGCGCCAGGAGGCATATCACATATGCGTCAGCACTTGCGCTACTGATCCCCAAATAGACAGTCCGGGCTCTTGCCCGAGTACCATCCCAGAATGGTGCATCGCGGGTGCGGGCGCCCGTGCCCGGTCGGGCAACGAAAGATGCATTACCGAGTTTCGGGAAAAAATGGGGACGAAGTGAGCTTGATACTCAGCTCCGAATACGGAGTTCATTCTGTTATGATTGGAAGTGATCAGTGTTCGTCATAGTGATCTCCCTCGCGCTGTCGATCGCAACCTCAGTGCGCGGGAAATGACCGCTATAAAAGGCGCTCACTTTTCGTCTCAATTCTACAGTTCATTTGTTCACTCACTCGCCTTTCTTATTTTACTGTGCTCTATTATTCACTAATAAATACTCTTGTTTTTCCTCCTGTGCTGCCTGCCTCAGGACAAAGAGTCGGAGTGTCCGAAGTGGAGGACACAACATATTCGAATACGAATTCGAATAAACACTCGAATAAAACATTTAAATAAAATCTATTCGAATCCCCATTTTTTGATTATCCGAGTTTTCAAATAATATTCGAATCCTCGTTTTTTGATTATTCGAGTTTTCGAGTTTTATTCGAAGCCCTGTTTTTTGATTAGTCGAGTTTCGAATTTCATTCGAAACCCCGTTTTCTCAATTATTCGAATTTCGAATATTATTCGAAAATGGAAGAACTCCGAATATCGAATTTCGAATACGAATATATTCGAATGTTTTATTCGAATGATAGAATTTCTATTCGTTTCGGACCCGAGTATAGTAGAGAACTATCTATTGTAGAATTTGCTATATGTTTTCGCCTGATATAATCACAAAGCGAAAAACTGTGACCTATGACTACGTTGTTAGCTGGAATAAAATACAGTTATAAATCTTGTCGATGTAGCGCTGCAGTTTGCATTGTAATGGTGTTCTGAACAATAAAAGCAAAATTAAAAAAGGAAGAATGGTCATAAATTGATAGGTTGGCACTTAAGTTTTGCAGCTTATCTCATAACTTTTCCGTAACTCGCAGTCTTTTTGACTATGACGCATTCATTTTTGGACATAATGTAGATTAGATAGTAGGCTACAAAACTGCGAACAGTTTAATTTTTGGTGGCGAAATGAAAAAAAAATTTATTCATTTTTCGGAAGCTGGTCAAATCCGGAATTTCAAGGGTCGCAAAATCAAAGATAAAGCCGTTCTCAGTCTGAATCGAATACAGCAAGCCGAAACTGCACCCAGATTGTTGACAGAGGAAGGAAACTCTAATCATCTACACAGTTTCGGCTTGATTTGTTTGATTCAAACTGAAAACGCCTTTATTTTTGGTTTTCCATCCCTTGAAATTGCGGATTTGATTATCTTCCGAAAAATGAGTAAATTGCGGCGGGTCTCGCATTTATAGCATTTGGAAATCGCACTTCCGCTGAAATTATTGCTGAGAAGTGGATGTATAAGTTCAAAAAGAGCCAGCATGTCATAGTTTGAACTCACAAAAAGTCGACTATTTTCACAATTTTTCTATATATGAAACCGAATGGTGTTCTTGTCTGTACGCTGGTGGATGTGTCTGTACGTCCTCGATGGTGTTTTTCTGGTCGATGGCGTTTTCGTGTGGAAACTTGTTACTATTTCTACCAAATTTATCGATTACTTGCAGATTTTGAACTACGGGACTGGGAGTAGGCAAAGGGGGTAATCGGGTATGCTGATTACGAATACAATATTATTTTTAGAATTATCAATTACTTTTATCATTTTATCGATTTTTTGCAAAGTTCGAGCTATGGCGCTGAGAGTTAGCACAGGGGGGTAAGCGAACATGCTGATTACGAATACAATGGCCCGTAGTAAAGCTAATTCAGTTCAGGTGAACTGAACTGAGGCCCTCATCCAAGATTCAGTAAGGTAGACTGCCTATCACCAGCTCTCCACGTTGTAAGAATGCAAAATGAGATTTCAGCTGACCGTCCATCTACCTGACGAGGTAGTCTACCTTACTTCAGTCAGTTCACATTCAGTTAGACTACCAATTGATGTAAATAGTGAATGATGATACGCAGAGAAACTTCTCGTAAGTTGCTCCTGAGTAACTTACGATGCACGTCAGTTTAACATGTCGCTGAGGAGCCACAGTGATGCTGACGAGACTTAACAAGATCTAATAAGTGCGGCCACATCCCGCCGCTAGTGCCAGTGACGTAGATGTGAATGTTTGGCAAACTCGTCTTGACTCGTATACTTGCATGGACGTGGCGCTCTCAATCTTATCATCGTGGGTGTTGGCAATACCAATCAATGGCTCGACTGAAGGCAAGCTGACTCGTCGAAGCCTCAACTGAAATTTTATTCAGCTGAGATCGAATGAAGCAGCTTTACTACGGGCCAATATCATTTTTTAGAATTATCAATTATTATACTTTTATCATTTTATCGATTTTTTGCAAAGTTCGAGTTATGGCGCTGAGAGTTGGCAGAGGGGGGTAAGAGAACATGCTGATTACGAATACAATATTATTTTTTAGAATTATCAATTACTTTTATCATTTTATCAATTTTTTGCAAAGTTCGAGCTATGGCGCTGAGAATTAGCACAGGGGGGTAAGCGAACATGCTGATTACGAATATGATAACCATTTTCAAAAATGTCCATTACTTTTACCAATATCGATTTTTGTTGCAAATTTTGAACTACGGGGCTGGGAGTTGGCAAAGGGAGGTAAGCGAACATGCTGGTTACGAATACAATATTATTTTTTAGAATTATCAGTTAATTTTATCATTTTATCGATTTTTTGCAAAGTTCGAGCTATGGCGCTGAGAGTTTGCAAAGGGAGGTAGGCGAACATGCTGGTTATGAACACAATATCATTTTTTAGAATTATCAATTACTTTTATCATTTTATCGATTTTTTGCAAATTTTGAACTACGGGGCTGGGAGTTGGCAAAGGGGGGTAAGAGAACAGATTACGAATACAATATTATTTTTTAGAATTATCAATTACTTTTATCATTTTATCAATTTTTTGCAAATATATAAAGAAAAAATAGAAAATGCCCATTACTTCTATTGGTTTAATTGATTTTCTGCAATGTTTGCACCACGGCGCTGGGGGTTGGTACAGGCAGGTAATTGAGCATGCTGCTCACGAATACGCTCTTATTTCAGGGTGTATGATTTTATGAACGATAGCATGTGCCAGCCGCCAGCTGGGTACTATACTTGGGGAAATTCGAAATTTTTTTCGAATATTCGAATATCGAATATATTCGAAAATTGAAAATTTCGAATATTCGAATATCGAAAATTTCGAATATTCGAATATCGAATAATATTCGAAAATCGAAATTGGGAATATTCGACTATCGAATATTATTCGAAAATGAAAATTTCGAATAGAATAATATTCGAATATCGAATATCATTCGTTATTCGAATTTCGAATATTATTCTGTTCTCGAATGTTATTCGATTTTCGAATATCATTCGATTTTCGAATACTGACCCTAATAATTTACGTCACTGAGACTGCCTATGAAAGGCCAAAACACTAAGAACAATTTGTTTCATGTAAGTGCTAGGAATGGACACATTCCTATGGTACAATTTACGATGGAAAAACGGTTTAGTCGTGACGTGAAGAGACTAAGGAACTTGAAAGCTACTCCTGTGGGTTGTGAAGAGATTTTTCATACTTCAAATAAGATTATATACCCTCACTGAGAGTTGCGATTGGATATAAAGTGCGGTTCTTAATTATACTAACACCCAAAATTCTGTAAGTTTTCGGACTTTTTGGGAGAAACTCAAAAAACCGTTGGTACCACGCGACAGAACACCGCCGAAAACGGTATATGATTCATAAGAATGGAAACCGATGTCAATTGTAGGAGAGTTTTTGCGCCTAATGCGAATTTTTAGCGGTTCATAATTATACGAACACCTCAAACAAAGGTCCATTTTTCATTCAAGATTGCAATCGTTCGAGTCCAAATTTTTTGTAGAGTTACAGCAACAAAGTCCGACATATCTACTACACACTGAACCCAGTGCAGTTCAAAACGAGGACCGTTACTTTTCTCAGAAGGCTTCAAATGCTTTTGGAGTGATTGGGCTCCAAAAACATCCGTTCTTCTGTGATTTACGAGCTCTAATTAGCTTCTACCAAAGCTATGAGATAAAATAAGCT